CCCACTGCTATGCGATCACTAGGCGCGCGATGAAGCGTTGGGAGGAGCGCTCTACAAATGACAATGGCAACATACGAGCGGCGCGTAACGCTAGATCGTTGTGTCCTAGTGATCGCGTAGCAGTGGGACGTCCTTCTCACCGCGCACGCTTTACTCGCGCGGATTCGCCGATCTTTTTTCGTTAATTACTCAGTACTTATTATGAAAATTAAAAAATGGTAAAGGACTTTTCTACTCGATTTGACCTCCTCTACCTGTATATGACCGGTGGGGCGATTATTGCCAGACACCCTGTATATATATCACTGAAAAAAATGTTTTGCTGATGTAGGTAGATTTCTAGGTGTCACAACAAAAATGTATCGCTATTTCTTGTATCCGCTAAAATATTGTTTGTCACATCTAAAATTTATAACAGCAACATTCTAGCAATATCTTCTAGAAAATTTAGGTCTCATTGCCAAATAATAATAATTGCATTGAGTAAATGAGTTTTGATACTGTAGCTAGAACGAACTATATTTCTTGTGAGAAATATAGTTGCCGATTATAACGGATGGGCGCATTATACAAATTATGTTAGATGTGAGGATCCATACCTCCATAGCAAAACAAATCACAGTGATATCATAATGATATTTCTCTGTGACGCTCAAATATGTCATAATGAAATTGTGGTGACATACGAATGTCTGCTTTATCACAGATATAATATCGCTTATGACATCATTGTGATATGAAAAATAAAATAAAAATATAAAATAAGAAATAAATATTTATCTACTCAATTTCTGAACAATCAGTCTATCTAAATTCCTTGTTTGGATTCAGATATTAAACTGATAGAAAGTTATTACATTTTTAATATTATTAGCTGTCTTTTGCAAGTTTTATATAATTCTCATGATTAAAACTTAAATACGAGATAGATTGCGCATAATGCGTCACATAGCGGCAAGCAAACAAACTAATGACTAAATACTGTTTTTGGAATGTTGTTGTAACATTTCTGCGACATTTTATGTCATATTATGATGATATTACCACGATTGTAACTAATGATATCACTGTAACTTTCTGATAATGTCACAGTGATATTTCAATTTTTCTGTAACCTTGTGACTCTATTGTAAGTCTGTTGTAATGTCACTTTGGCTTTTTTTGCTATGGGGGTATATTTATTTGTCTCTCGTCGCTAGTCTTTTTTGTATACCACAGTCAAACCTTATAATAAGTATGATTAGCTTTAACATGAATATACGCCGCAGAAAAACTTTCTTTCTAAATTTCACAAATATTATTAGTTCGGATATAAAATCTGTTTCTGTCATTTAGATTGATTAAGTGCCAAACATATTCGATATCACAGTATTTGCTAATCATTTATCTACTTTAGCTAATTTTTCGCACCCAAAAAACTTTTGCTGTAGTTGCAAGACCATTTTTTTTAGTGTATGAGTGAGGAGAAAATCCTTATAAGGCATAATAAACAACAATGCTCTCAGGTGCAGTAGTCAAGATTTAAAATGGATTCCATCGATAATGCCTCTGTTTTTAGATATTAATAATTTTTACTTTTTTTTTATCAAGCAGAACATGAACTATTAGAGATGAGAGTATTATCATGTTTTACTAGCAGGAAAACACAAATTAATACGTTCATAAAGCTCAGCAATAATAATTTGCGGTACTAGATATTTGACAGTTTCATGTGCTGATTTTAATATTTTTCCGACAGGTTAGACATTTTTAAAGGTCAGATTCAGATTCAACAGCTCAAAAACTATAAAAAACATACCGTTTTTACTTGTCGCTCCGAGGGCCAAGATCGGCCTATTTTACTCATCCTCTTTTGAAGTCGATCCTTTTTTAACATACCAAAATCCAAATTATTTTTCAAAATAGAAAACTTCTTACAAATTAAATTTTTGATAAAGATAAATAATGAAACTTTATTCCAGAATTTAAAATAAAGACTGAATTGTCAAAAAAAATAAAATATTGAATATGAAAAAATTGAGAGCAGAATGCTAAGTCAAAAAATTTATTTATATCTTTGATAATTAATTTATCATAAAAATCAAAAAGATACAAAAATATCTTATAGGAAATATCTTATATCTTATATTGAAGTTTTATGTTTTTAGGAATATATTATATATAGTTTGTGTTTCTAGAAAGTAACGTCAAGTACTGAATCAGCCGTAATACAAATTATGACAGAAAAAGAAACAATCTTGCCGGTGGCACTTGAATCTTCCACAGAAGTCAGTGTGAGATCCAACAACAAACGTGCATCAAACTCTAACAACAAGAATTCTAATAAAAATCGGAAGCGAATTAAGAATAAAACAAAGAATCAAAACAGAATCGGCAGCAAGAACAAAGTAATTACTTTTAAATACAAATATTGATTAGAACTTTACTACTATCTAATAATGGATTTAACTTTGAATTTGAATATTTAAAAGCGAATGAGAAAAGTGAATCAATATATTTATTGCGTTTTTCAGACAAAGTCCAAGAGTAGACCGAAAGCGAGAGCCACTCTGTACGGATTAGCGTCCTTGCAGAGGACAGGCAACGTGTCATTGAACATGATGAGTAATCACACAACAATTAAGACGAAGTTCAGTCTAGGACCACTCGTACTGAAAGTCGAGAAGGAGTTCGGTCGGGCTGCAAAAAAGGAACTGAGGAGCGCGACCGCCACTACAGCTGAGATGTCAGGCAAGCTGAGTCTACGCGTGTTGAACGGCGGCGCGGCGACGTTGCATTCTATTCGAGTATCGCAACCCAAACAGGTACGTACTAAACCGATAGGAAAAAAAATGCGAAACAATTATACAATCTGACAATTATGGAAGACATTTACTCTTCTAAACCTTCTTTTTACGTTAAATTTATTAGTGTCATTATTTAAATATCACTATTAATAATGACTTTTTAAATTTTAAGCCACACACACACACACACACACACACACACACACACACACACAACAC